AAAGGCAAAGGGGATCCGAGCATCCCTACATTTCTGGAAAGTTCTGCCCTGCTCCAAACCTCGTGGCTGGCTCACACCTTTATAATAGTCTGAATCAAAACCTCAGATCTGAACCACTCCAACCTTTAGCTCAGATCCACAACTGAAATTTGGTTATAGTGACTGATCCTGGTGCAGGATAAAGGCTTAACACAGTCAACATCCGTGTGAAGACATGTCGAAAAGATGCACATTCTTTTAGTCCTGTAAAATAAGCTACATCGCACCTCCACAAGAAAGTCAACATAATTAAATTAGCACAGCTACCCCATACAATGTACTTAATGATATTTAGGGTAGATGCAAGTTTATCTATTAGCCAAGCTACATATTTATAGCTTGTAAAAGATTGTGGCTTGCTTTGATTCCTTAGTGGGTTTAACTGAGACCACATGAAAGGACCCTGTAACTTCTACAGCTCTTTACATTTGCAAAATGTAAAGTTGTATGCTCCAAGGCATAGAGCCAAGCACGATGTGCCAACACAAGAAGTGATGCCAACGTATTACATAAAAAGCTACTTCTCTTCTAATATTGCAATGAATATTTTAAATGAGAATCCCTCTTCTGAAGTCATTCATCAGTAAAAAGGAAACATGTGCAACCATAAATTACTAGGATTGTGGTTTCATGCTGCTAGCAAATAATCATCTTTGTGGTTAAGCATCTATAAAATGAGGAAATTCAATACCCATGAGTGGAAGATCTAGAACTGAGACTGAAAGAAACAGAAGACAAAGATTTCTACAAAACTTTCCATATAAACTGTTGGCCTTGATTCTCCTCTCACTCGCGTAGTTAATATCAGGAGCAACTTTGCTGACAACAGTGGAGTTGAACCATTTTAAAACTGGTGTAAATGAGAGGATCAGCCCCATAAATGTGTACATATTTTTTGGAAGGGGGAAAGAAAGGGGAGGAGAATTTTGATCTGATGGTACCAAAAAGAGTGAAAGCAATGCTTTGGAAATCCGAACTGAACTTTTACAGGACCAGCACTACGGTGTTTGAAACAAACATAACTGTTGATGTTTGCTATTACTGAAGAGCCTTAAGAGATGGCTCCAGGCATTAAGCATTAAACTGCATGACAGAATACATAAATTCCACCCTCCCACTCACAGAGAAACTGCTGAGCAATTAACACGTGTAGAGAGATGTTCTGGAGACTGCAGGCATGATTTCCAGACGTGACTACTGATTTTGGGTGCCTCAGTTCTGAGGTTCCCAACTTCCGACACCTTAAATGGGCCTGATTTTCATAGTATTCTGAGCATCAGCCCTCTGAAAATCAGGTCCCTTTAAGGAATTTCAAATCGGGCACCCAAAAATGGAGGCATCCAAAAATCACTAGCCCCTTCTGAAAATCCTGGCCAAAGATATATATTTACCCAGAAATATAGGACTCACGAGATTAATCTGCGTAACACAGAGAGAGGAACATCTCGTATCCTAATTAAAAGTGATATACAATTTAAAAAAAAAAATCCTTGCCAACAAAAAAAGTAAAATGCCTTGAACATTCTTGTTAACTTGTTCGGCAAGCCCCCTATTAAAGTGCATAATGAGCCTGTCGCCCTAACCCAAAGCCCCTCCAAGCCAGTGGAAAGATTCTCATTGATCTGAATGAGCTCTGGACAAGGCCCTGTGGGAGTTCAGAAGCAATGGCACACAGGCTGCAATAAAAGAAAGATTCCATGTTTATTTTATCTTACTCCACTGGGGTTTTGTTGTGAAAAGTGATAGGAAATACTCATCTAAAGTAAGGAAATTGGGCACACAGGGGTCCAAGTAGAAGAATTTTTGAATACCACACCAACCAGCACTTTGGGAGTGACTGTTCGATGCTCTGAAAGGGACCTAGGAAAATAAATATTCTTAAATCTGCTTAATAGAGAGCATATGGACAAAAGTTGTACAAAGATAGCGGAGAGCCAGTGGGGAGGGTGATGTACCCTATTCAAGAATGGTGCAACTTCTATTCTATTGTGAGCTACCTGAGAGCTCCCAAAATAATTTGCTGAGCTGCCCAGCAGGATTCCTCCAGGGGACTGCAGAAGCTGTGCTACCTCTTCCTCACCCCTCTGGAAACTTGAAATTTTGAGCGAGACAAAATGAAAGCATGGATAAAAATAAATGGAATTTTCATATTAGAAAAGAAAAATGTGTTTTCAAGTAGCAAAATGTTTCAATCATTGGGGCAGGCTGGAGGAGGGTCAATGACTGCACGGATCCAGTGATTTCACCAGGCTGCACAAGTGGCACTGAACCCTTTGACTGCTGATCCAGCTTAGAGGGTAAAATAGCAGCCACAGTAGGAGTAGGCAGGAGAGCAGCTCTGAGCCCTAGGTAGTGATATGGACTTTGCCTTGCCAAATCCACATACAAGTTTCATGCCTTACCCCTTCCACGGGGGGGGGGGGGGGGGGGACTATTAAATTGCACAAATTACTCCACCTCTTTACAAAATGCCACCTCATTTACCTCACTTGGCTGGGATCTAGTGTACACTCTGGCTGCAATGGAGACAGGTGGGAGTTTTGCCAGAGGCTTCAATGGGAGTAGGTATTGGGCTTCCACCCCAGCCTTATTACTGGGCATTAATCCAAGCAGCAACATATTAAACCTTTTTTTTTTTTTTAAGAGGGACCAATAAAGATGCAAAGCCCTCCTTCTGTGCCCATACTCCCCTTCCCTCCAGCCTTTGTCTATTGGCATTGCTTGCTGCATTATGTCCATTGTAAGCTCCCAGATCTATCACTTTTACTTGTCTATTAAGCACCATGCACATTATAAAATAACAAGAAGAGATCATTATTATTATTTATTATTATTTATGTAAAAGAATAAGAAAAGTTGACAAAACTCACACTGAAATCATTAATGCTTGCTACCTACGAGTAGGTCAGACAGCAGCAGGGGGGAAAAATTACTGAGTAAAGATATTGCCTACGTACCCTTAAGCCTCGTCCTATGTCTAGCATTATATTGCAGTGAAAAAAGCTTTCTAAGCAAAGAAGAAGCCCAAGGCACAACAATGACCTAGAAAGACATCTGGAAACTACTGTCCCCTGCCAAAGCTGGACAGAGAAGACTATTATAAGTCTAGATGTTTCAAGTCCTTATTATGCAATAAATCACCCAGTAATAGCACCTACTGCAGTGTAATTAAAGTGCTACTGAAATACATTTGGGGCAATAAAAATCAGAGCTAATGTCAAAACAGCAATTTAATACGAAGGAATATTTAAAGCAGTATATACTATGTTATATAAGAACATAAGAACGTCTATACTGGGTCAAACCAATGGTCCATCTAGTCCAGTATCCTGTCTTCTGACAGGGGCCAGTGCCAGATGATTCCAAGGGAATGAACCGAACAGGGCAATTGTCAAGTGATCCATCCTCTCTCGTCCAGTCCCAGCATCTGGTAGTCACAGGCTTAGGGACTCCTAGCACATGGGGTTGCATCCCTGACCATCCTGGCTAATAGACATTGATGGACCTATCCTATAGGCTGTTAACATCACCCTATTTCAGTATAGAATGCATTGTACATAAGAGAAAGTTACTTTACCATCTCATAGAGGATGGTTCTAGACTATTCTCAGTGGTAGAAGAGGACAGGACAAGGAGTAATGGTCTCAAGTTGCAGTGGGGGAGGTTTAGGTTGGATATTAGGAAAAACTTTTTCACTAGGAGGGTGGTGAAACACTGGAATGCGTTACCTAGGGAGGTGGTAGAATCTCCTTCCTTAGAAGTTTTTAAGGTCAGGCTTGACAAAGCCCTGGCTGGGATGATTTAATTGGGGATTGGTCCTGCTTTGAGCAGGGGGTTGGACTAGATGACCTCCTGAGGTCCCTTCCAACCCTGATATTCTATGATTCTATGATTCTGCTACAGATCTAAACTAATCTATCAACTAGATATTTGTACTCAGCTGAAAATACATAACCCTGTATTTGAATATAAATGAATTATTTATATTGACTGAGAAACCATATCTGTCTCACCCAGTCTTGAGATTTGCTTCTTGCAATGGGTGTCATCACTGTAACAGACTTTTCCAAATAGTGGGCCAGATCCTCAACTAGTGCAATCAACTTGATGTCAATGAACTTGTCAATTTACACCACTGAGCCCACTTCTGCAGTCTTTCCTTTGGCAAAGTTCCCAGAGGAGTCAATTCAAAGATTTGCCAGAGTAAAATCTGCAGGATCTGGTCAAGTGTCCTTAATTATAATGGTCAATTCCATGCTAGCTGCTAGCAGCGGTTGTTATTTTGGAACCTGACATCACACTTGCCATTTGTCTAATCTGTCAACTTCAATACAGGGAGAACTATCAAAAGATATTTTCTATTTAATATTTAAATTAAATGGGTCTGATTCTGGTCTTTTCACACTTACAATGGGGTAAATCAGTCATAATAAGACAACAAAATAGGCCCATACTCTCCAACTGTACCATCTCACTGGTCCTACATCACTGGTAAACTTCACAACAAATCACCAACATAGCAGAAGACTGAAAAAGGAACTTACTTATGGACTAAACTAAAATGACGCAATGTCTTTGTTTAAGTTTATTTCACCAAACAGACAAAATGAAAGTTTTTGCCTAATTCCACATAAAGATTTTCAGTGCTGTTTTGTTTATATTTGAATGAGCAAAATAGAAAGGATTTTTATTAATTATTATTATTATTATTATTATTTCCCACTAATGGAAGTTAGAAAACAGGTTCCTATGATCATTTTCTCAACAGTAGACAAAATTAAATACACAAAGTGCTGAGAGACATAACAATCACTTTATATTCACCGGTAACCTCTGAAATGAACCGTAAGCTCTTATTCAAGGAATTTTCACTGCAAATGAGAGAGAACACTCCCTCACCAAAAATAAATAAATGGGAAACTACTTCAAATGCAATAACTCAAAGTAAATGGATTTCTTACCATTGTGAGCGTAAATGGATGGCTTTCTAATGCTGACACTCTTGGACAGTGCAGAATAATATACTGAAATAAATCACCCAGAGAAAAACGAATGGTAAAAAAGCTACGTTCAAAACATTCGGTTATGGCTGCTACTAACAATACCCCAAAGTTAAAAGCATCCCTCAACCCTTGCATAAGAGAAGCTGGAGTTTTATGTGCTGTGAGTCAACTCACCTGACCAGGCCTTGCTTTAAAGTTTTCTTTCCTCATTCGTAGTTCAAGGACATTAGAGGGATGGCTTATCACTGAAGTTATCGTGGCTGGTTTGTAACTGCGGATATAGCGATAGAGCCTTTCTGCACAATATAAGCACAAAGGTCCAGAAATCCAAAGCCAAGTCTGCAGAAGAAAAGCAAAAATATTACTCCAAGGAATGTTTTTCCTTTTTTATTTCAAAATAATATGACTCCTTATACAGCCTAGTTCTACCATCCTTATGGTGACTAACGTCTTAGGCTATGTCTACACTCATAGCTGCATCAGAAATACAGGCACTACACATGTAGCCACAGGCCGCAGTGAAAGGCCGGCTGTGTCCACACGTGCCACGGTGGTGTTTAGGTCAAAATGTGGGGATTCGACTAGATGACCCTCGCGTTTAACCTTATGGTTCTGTGATTCTCCATGTCACAGTGAAAGGCTCCAGTGAGGCAGTAGGACACTACACTGCTAAAAATAGCAGGGTAGTCACGGGAGGCACTGCATGGACGTGTAGAGAGCTGTGCAGAGTATATACCCTGGTGGTTCAGGCAGGTAGGGCACTCTACACTATGCTACTGGCCTAAGCCGTATCTCACCATGCTAGCTGAGCATGCAATGTCTGTACTCTTACATGCCGCCATAAATGTAGACACAGCTTTAGAATCATAGACTCATAGAATATCAGGGTTGGAAGGGACCTCAGGAAGTCATCTAGTCCAACCTCCTGCTCAAAGCAGAACCAGTCCCCATCTAAATCATCCCAGCCTGTGCTTTGTCAAGCCTGACCTTAAAAACTTCTAAGGAAGGAGATTCCACCACCTCCCTAGGTAACGCATTCCAGTGCTTCACCACCCTCCTAGTGAAAAAGTTTTTCCTAATATCTAACCTAAATCTCCCCCACTGCAACTTGAGACCAGTACTCCTTGTTCTGTCATCTGCTACCACTGAGAACAGTCTCGATCCATCCTCTTTGGAACCCCCTTTCAGGTGGTTGAAAGCAGCTATCAAATCCCCCCTCATTCTTCTCTTCTGCAGACTAAACAATCCCAGTTCCCTCAGCCTCTCCTCATAAGTCATGTGCTTCAACCTCCTAATCATTTTTGTTGCCCTCCATTGGATGTTTTCCCGTTTTTCCACATCCTTCTTGTAGTGTGGGGCCCAAAACTGGACACAGTACTCCAGATGAGGCGTCACCAATGCTGAATAGAGGGGAATGATCACGTCCCTCGATCTGCTGGCAATGCTCCTACTTATACAGCCCAAAATGACATTAGCCTTCTTGGCAACAAGGGCACACTGTTGACTCATATCCAGCTTCTTGTCCACGGTAACCCCTAGGTCCTTTTCTGCAGAACTGCTGAATAGCCACTCAGTCCCTAGTCTGTAGCGGTGCATTGGATTCTTCTGTCCTAAACTCAGGACTCTGCACTTGCCCTTGTTGAACCTCATCAGATTTCTTTTGGCCCAATCCTCTAATTTGTCTAGGTCCCTCTGTATCCTATCCCTACCCTCCAGTGTATCTACCTCTCCTCCCAGTTTAGTGTCATCTGCAAACTTGCTGAGGGTGCAATGCACACCATCCTCCAGATCATTAATGAAGACATTGAACAAAACCGGCCCCAGGACCGACCCTTGGGGCACTCCACTTGATACCGGCTGCCAACTAGACATGGAACCATTGAACACTACCCGTTACTTTGCAAGTAGTCCCAATGGACGAGGAGGAGGTGACTGCCCTAATCACAAGGCTACAGAATCATTCTAAATCTTTCTCTGGCCCAATTAATAGTGAATTATTCAGTTATTTAATTAAAGTGGAACAACTTCAACATGCCTCCTCAAATGACTAAGGTGAAGGGCAGATGGGACAGGCAGCTGAGGAGCTTTTGGGTAATATTCGGCCCAATACTGAACTGGATATTTTGTGTGTTGCTCTGTGCTCCTAGAGTTTCAGCTCTTCAGGGGACAGGGACCGTGTAGACCACTGTGTTTGTACAGATCCTAGAATGAAGCCCTGTTTCTGATTGGTGGATTGGGACATACATATATCATAATTAAATCATCTTGAGTCTATTGATCTTTTCTAAAATTCCATTTTTCTTTTCACATTTTTCTAGAATAAACTCTGCCTCCTCCTTCCTTTTTTAACATTCTCATTGAATTTGATACTAATGAAAATAGGCTTTCGGCGGGTGTAGATAGCCATCTGTAGTGGTGGTCAAGATGAAAGTTGTGTTTATATTGTATTGCTCACTGTGGAATCTGTGTGCATGATGCTAATACATTTGTCTATAGCATCTGTACTATTGGTATCCACTCAGACCTCAATTCAGGAAAGCATCACTATGCAGGAAAGCACTAAAGCCTGTACTTAACTTTAAGTGTAAATAGCTCAATCTATTTTGTTTATCCTAGAGAACGTTAATATGTGACTTTATCACAGTCTTTATATAACTATGTGTGCTGAGGATTTCTGATAGTACAGAGCTCTGTAATCTAGCAGCCAAAGACATAACAAGATCCAGTGTTTGGAAGCTGAAGGTAGATAAATTCTGACTAGAAATAAAGTAGAAATTTTAACAGGTGGTAATTCATCACTGAAACATATTACCTAGTGATGTGATGGATTCTCTGTCACTTGAAGTCTTTAAATCAAGATTGGCTGTCTTTCTAAAATAGATACTCTCTATTTCCACATCAGCATGTTCCATAGCCCAGCAGTTAGAGCACTTAAGAGGTGGTAGATCCCCGTTCAGATCCCTCCTCCTCATCAGGCAGAGGGGAGCCTGAACCACGGGTTTCTCACATCCCAGGTGAATACCCTTACCATTAGATTAAAAGTTATAAAGGAAGTTCTCCTTCCCTTTCTCACCCCAGCTGTTTTGTGTGAACTTGCCTGAGCGGCCTGCCCCAGTAGGTAGCTTTTGGGCTCACCCATTGAACTGGGCCTGGCACACAACATAGGTGTTTGTCTGCCTGCCTTCTCTGGTTGTGAATTGCTCTGGGGCTTAGGCAGGAGATAGGCACCCAGACATCTAGAGGAAGCCAGCAGTACGCATGCCCAGAGGCAGAAACACAGGTGCTGAGGGAACGTTTACTGCAAAAAAACTTAGCCACTGAGTGAATTTAGGCACCTGCGGTGTTCAGCAGGAGTTTTGTGGATCGCAGTGGAGCACAAACTGAGACTTAGGTGCCTACATCTTGGGTTTAGATAGCTAAATAATTTTGTGAATCTCACCCTCACAGTCTAAACAGACAAAGGGTGGGAGATAGGAAGCATTCTTAGCCCTATTTTACAGATGGGATTTGGCCACGGGGAGATTAAGTGATTTGCCCAAGGTCACACAGTGTGTGCCTACACAGTCTGCAGCAGCCAGCCTCCCAGCCTGGTTCGACAGACATGGGCTAGCGAGGGCTCACGATGCTGCCCTAAAAATAGCTGTGTAGACATTGTGGCTCTGGCTAGAACTCGGGCTGTAAAAGCTGGGGGGTGGGGTGGGCTGATGCCTGATAAGGTTTTAATATTTTCCATTATTAAAACTTCTGGTCCAGAGAAGTAATAATTAGTGGTCGTGGCTGACTGAAAGACTTGGCATTGCCTGTAAAACCTGAAATATCGGATCATACAGACCTCTGGGAAGTGCGACTGGAACTTGGGTTCCTCAGCGCAAATTCTCACAAAATTATTTTGTACAAATGGTTCCAGTTCTGCTGGGAAAGGCTCAGGAGCGTATTCAGGAAAAGGTTCTTCAAAAGTGCCTGGCACTGGAATATCCTCTCGGAGAGTTGTGTTAGGATGAAAGCAGCCAGGAGGGTGTTCCTCTAGGTTAGTCTGGTATTTAAGCACTCCTCTACAGGAAACAAACAAACAAAAAAGACACTGAAACAGCAATCAAAATCAACCGACTTCTCTCAATTTGTAGAGGATTTTATAGGCCATCACAAAGCTGATCAAAGGCTGATATTCCACAAGCATTTTAACTTTGTTTTACCTCCAGGAGTTTGAATTAACTTGACACGTTCCAACAATAGATCCCTTTGTCACTAAAGTGGAGGTTCTGCAACCCATCTGGCACTCCTGATACTACTTGAGGGTAGGAGAAATTGTGCGGGCCTCGGAGAGAAATTAAATAATTGCATTTGCAATTCAATCACACAAAGCTATTTTCAGCCACACTCTCTGTGTTATACAAGGCCTCGTTTTAATGCAATCTTAAACACAAGTGGCCTAACAATATTGCAGAATTATAAACTGCAGGGAGCACTCCTATCATTCAGTGTATTTCATGTTTGTGCATGACAGCATCATACACGAGCTACATCCCACTTCTGAAAACCCACCTGTCAAATGAAAAAAGTCATTATGATGGGGTGTTCACCCCAGACTGGCCCTGATGGAGTTAAGGAGGCTCCAGATGGGGCCAATTAATTTTCATAGTTGCACCTGAAGGGAGGCCGAGGGATTTATAAATACTAATTACTGGTAATGCCCAGCTGGGGGAGAAGCTGGGTAAAGAATATAAAGAGATGAAGTCTTTAGTAGCAGGAGGCCACAAGGAGAGAGTCTGTAGTCACTCTCTGAGAACAGAGAGGTGGGGAGGAGGAGGAAACCCAGTGGGGAGAATAAGCCCTGGGATCCTGGCCCTGGAAGCAGGATCAACTCCAGAGGAGTTGTGGGAAAATAAAGTCTGAGAAGCCTGGGTAGGAAGAAGCCCAGGGAAACAATAAGAAAAGGGTGGGGGGGGAGCCTGAGTTCCCCTACCAGTCACTCGGAAAGGGCACAGCACTGTTGGTGGTGCCACCCAGACATCTGGTCTGGTGAGACTTTGATATCCTGGAAGGGGGGGACTATATAGTGATCTACCCGGAGGGCCAAATCGCAAAGAGGGAGCACTGTGAATTATGGGAAGAGAGACCATCGCAGCCATGGATTGACTATTGGCAGGGGCTGCCATTTGGGAAGAAAGCCACTATGACATGCCTGGCCAGGAAGAGGAGCTCTTGCGTTGAGTGAACCCCAATACAGTGCTCCATCAAATGTGTAGTACAGAGAGAGAGCCTGGAGCACTGGGCCTGGTGCAGGGCCTTAGGCCTGAACCAGCGGCTGTGAACCAAAGTCAGGCCATGTATTAAAGCAGATGCTCACACATTCACTGTTGGGTACATAAACTTGGCAAAGTTGCTGCTAGCGTACAAGGTACTAGATATACACGCAAATATATTTCAGAAGGTTAGTACAGACACACCACAATCTAGTACAAGATAAGATGGTTTAACAGAATAATAGGGAAGTTTTTCTGAAATATAAAGAACTGGGTACAAGGGGAGGTAACAAACAGATGTCATGAAACATGTAAGGCAATATGTAACTTGTTAATCCCAGTTGTTTGTCTCAGTCTGTAAATGTTGAGGTACCTTGCCTTAGCCCTTTGTGAGGCCAAGGGGACAGCAGAGACTCCCGCGGATGACTGAACTGCTCCTTGCTGCAGGGCACTCATGTGTTAATGTATTTGTCCAAGTTGTGCGAGTCACTAGGATTGTGCCTTGAGGGCAATAAATCTGGCTGAGTGCCTTTGTCACCGAACCATGCCTGTGGTCTTTCTCTCTGAGTAACATCGAGGTTTGCTGGCTGAGCAAGCGGTGCTCTCTGCTAGTGCTGATAACACTGGAGCTCCAAGGACAGAAGCACTGAGCAGATGTAACAACTTAGCAGCTTTGACAGCGTTGCCGCAGCAATGACATTCCACACTTCTACAAAAAGCCAGGATCCAACCTTACAGATGACCTTACTGTGTCTATTCGACATTGGTGAGGCCTCATCTGGAGTACTGTGTCCAGTTTTGGGCCCCACACTTCAAGAAGGATGTGGATAAATTGGAGAGAGTCCAGCGAAGGGCAACAAAAATGATTAGGGGTCTGGAACACATGAGTTATGAGGAGAGGCTGAGGGAGCTGGGATTGTTTAGCCTGCAGAAGAGAAGAATGAGGGGGGATTTGATAGCTGCTTTCAACTACCTGAAAGGGGGTTCCAAAGAGGATGGCTCTAGACTGTTCTCAATGGTAGCAGATGACAGAACGAGGAGTAATGGTCTCAAGTTGCAGTGGGGGAGGTTTAGATTGGATATTAGGAAAAACTTTTTCACTAAGAGGGTGGTGAAACACTGGAATGCGTTACCTAGGGAGGTGATAGAATCTCCTTCCTTAGAGGTTTTTAAGGTCAGGCTTGACAAAGCCCTGGCTGGGATGATTTAACTGGGATTTGGTCCTGCTTCGAGCAGGGGGGTTGGACTAGATGACCTTCTGGGGTCCCTTCCAACCCTTATATTCTATGATTCTATGATTCTATGATACTTCTGGAGCTGTACATGTTTCTCAGGTGAGAGTTACATTGATATTAACATGAACGTGCATGGGATTTTACAGACACAGCTGGAGAACAGAAAGAGGAAAAATACCAAAAGAAAACTAGGATTCCTCCAGACACTATATGAATCATTAAGAAGGTAATGAGATAAGTAATATACCCCCTTGTTCTTCTGAAGCCTTCCTTTGCCACTCAAAGAATTTGGGCTTGAATTATATCAAAATTATGGCCTGGGATGGTAGAAATATAAATGGCTAAATTATACCTTTTAAGAGGCACGGCTTTGCTGGGGAGAGGAGGAGGTTTCTGGCCTGTGCAGCAATGGCTGGGCGAAACGTCTGTAGCATTATACCTCCTGAGTGCTGGGTACAATGTGGTGAGCAACGCTCCTAGTTCCACCTTTGAAACATGTAATCGATGCCCCACCCGCACACCAGCCATCCTGGCGCTATTTGGCTCGCAGGAGTGGAGGGAAGCATGGTGGTGGCAGCAACCTTCCCAAACCAACCTTGCCCTCCTGACAGGATACATGCTGCCAACATGGTCCAATGGTTAGGGCACAAACTGGGGACTTGGGAGACCAGGATTCAGTTCCCTGCTTCACTACAGACTTCTTATGCGACCTTAACCAAGTCATTAGATCCTACTGCCTCAGTTTCCCCATCTGTTACATGGGGATAATGACACTGCTCTACCTCACAGGGTGTTGCGAGGATAAATTAAAGATAGTGAGGCGCTCAGATACACTTGTAATTGGTGCACATAGAAGCACTTCAGACAGATAAGATAGCAGCATTAGCTCCTCACCCTACCAGAGCGTTGGAAACCCAACTATGGCTTCCCCCTGCATGCTTAGATATCCTGGTAATGGGCTAGACAGATGAGATAAGTTTCGGATACTCTGTCACCTCTAACACAGAGGATACCCAAAGTGGGATAGTAATATTAAAACACACTTTTAATATTTGTCCATTACAAATTGTCACACACAAGCCCTTTAATGGTTGCACTTCACTTTGCCATGCATGAACTCATCTACCACTTGGCACAAGGTAATCAAATCATTTACAAGGCCCCATGATAGAGTGTCTCTAGGCATTATTTCTAATTAAACAAAACGTTGCAAAACCAAAAAATAACATGGGTTAACTAGATCTTTCGGGCTATCAGTGTTTCAGGATTGCAAGATGAGCGAGTGAGAATTTTCTGATGGTTCACATGACAAATTTCTGGTTTTACGATTTCTACAAGTTAACTAATAATTATGGGAGCTGAAAGTGAATTCACTGATTGAAGCCTACTAATCATGGTTGGCAACATTCTGTACAACAGGTGCCATTGCCAGGGTGGCATCTTTAGTGTTATGCTATGAGTTCAGAAGCTCATAAGGTGAACTGCAATTCCACTACACTGACTCCTCCACCTATTCAATGTTATTCTCTCATTAATAACAACAATAAAAATACCTCGCTCCTATATAGTGCCTTTCATCCATAGATCTCAAAGCACTTTACAAAAGAGGTCAGTATCATTATACCTATTTTACTGATGGGGAAACTGAGGCAGATGAAGTGACTTGCTCAAGGTCTCCGAGCAGGACAATAGGAGAGCTGAGCATAAAACCCAGTTCTCCTGAGTCCCACCTAAGTGCTGTAGCCACTTGTCCACTCTGCCTCTCTTGACAGCATGCTGTACTTTGCTGTGAAATACATTCCAAAGGTTGGAAGACCCACCCGTAAAATTAGACTGGAAAAAACACTAGACAATATCCTCAGGGAAGATTTGCAAGGAAAGGGGCTAGAATTTCCTCAGAAAAACATAGTAAACCTTTTCCCATTGTTAACTTCTGTGATTTTTGTGGGAATCTACAAAAAGAACAGAACCAGTGATATTTTTCTACTTTCTACTCAATCTTTGTATTGAACTTTTGTTTTTATTGTCATTAATATTGGACCAAAAGTAAATAGGCATAGCTCCATGGACAACAACTGAGAATCTGGCCAGTGTCATTATTATTATTTATGGTCGTGGTAAAGACGCCCTCAGAAAGATCAGAGCCCTATTGACCTTGGAACTGTACAAACACATCATAAAATAGCAACAGCGCTGATGAGCTTAAAACTAAAGCTGGTTGAAATGTGTCTGTCAGAAGATGCCCTTTTTCCAATTTGTAAAAAATTGTTGACATTTGTTTAACTTTTTTTGTTTTTTCTCAAAAGATTTCATGCCTTTATTTTTTTTCAATTCTTAATCATTCCTAAAATGTTTTCAATAATCAAAAAATTATGTCTATCAAAAACAGCGCTGTTCCGTAAATACAAATCTTATTTACCAAAAAACCTAGTCTTGGGTAAACCAAAATCAAAATTGTTAACTATTCTGATAACATTTGAAATAAAAATTTTGAACAAAAGAAATTGAAAAGGAATCAAAAAAATTTTTTTTTAATGATTGGTTTCAAGTATTTCAAAAAGACAACAAATTTGAAAATTTTCATTAAACTAATTTTGGTTATTTTGACTAGCTCTACTTATAATCTAAACAGACAAGACAGACAAAAAGGTGGGATGAAAAGGAAAAATTCAGTAAGATGGCGAACTAAGGCACAGACAGATTACCAGATTTCCCTCAGAGGACCCAGGATAGCTGCAGCAGAGCTGGGAATTGAACCCAAAATCCTGTGTCTCCTTAGGAAGAAGGCTACTCTTCCTCTCATAGACTACTCTTCAAACTTCTCTATACAGAAACGTAGTGCACAGCAAGCTGGGATGTAAATCTACTGCACACCAGCCTGCCACCCACTAAATGGCCATTGGGACCCTGTTGCAGCGCACTAAAAGTTCTGTAGTGCACATCAAAATGCACTTCGGAACATCTAGTGCTCGGCAGCAGGGTTTACATGGCCACTCAGTGTGTAGCAGGCTGCTGTGCTGTAAAATTACATCCCAGCATGCTACACACTTAATCTCTGTACAGACAAATCCTTCCGCCCCCCTACCCTTGAAAAGTATATATGTATACATATATTATATATAATTTGGCCACCTCTCATGTCATGTCAGGTTTATAAAAACTCCGTTTTGATAATAGCGTTTTTGCTTTCATGCAGCGTAGCCCCAGTTTTCACTGAAATTGGAATCTTAAACAATCAAGCTACAATACATCCAAAACCACATTATATAAATGAAAGACTAACCCTGTTCTTTGAACATTATACTTTTTGACACACGTTGTGTCCAATACACAAGATATTATCGACTAAAAGTGACACACAATCATGAATCATTGTCCAAAGGCACCGATTCTTTGATAAACTATAGAAGCTATTACCATAGCTACAGCCACTGAGAAAGCTATGCGCTCCTTGATAAATTCAGTACCATCACATTAGTCACTTCTATCCCCTCCTCCCATCTCCGATAAAGAATATATTTAAAACACAGGAAAATAAAACTTACAAACATGTCCCAGTTTTCAGATCATGAGCCAGTATTTAATAAAGTATTTGCCGTGAAGACACCATTCCAGCAAAGCACTTAAACACGTGCTTAACTTTAATACATTAATTACTTAATATTTAGTCCTACTGAAGTTGAGTTAGCTGCAATGATGTATGATTTATGTCTGGGGTTTTTTGAGGATTATCTTGGCATCCTCTCTCTGGTGTCCCAGGTGGGTTAAGCTCTGGTCCTTTGACAACTATAGCAATATCACTAGGGTCAGATCCTCAGCTGGTGCAAATTGGTGTAGCTCCTTTGATTTCAGTAGAACTAGCCCAATTGGCACCAGCAGAAGAGCTGGCTCCAAATGTTTTAGTAATCCTTATGTTTGTAGAATAATGCCGTGAAAGCATCTGTTTTGTGTTTCCTATTGACTTTTTGCTATTGTTGGCTTTAATACCAAAGCCTACCTAAAGTTTGGGGCATCTGTAAGTCACTGAAATGCTTTGCAGGTCTTGTTGCAAAAAGTACCAGAACAGCACATGCATTAACTATTAGGGCTAGTTCTCTTCTCCCCCTGGGGTGAGGATGAAAGAAACAACAAAGCATACATGACAGATGTTAGTTGTGTCACTTAACACGCTACTGGGAGGTGCTCAGATACTGTAATGACCTGGGCAGTATAACAAAATACATAGAATAGAATCACGAAACACCCCCAGGAGAGGATCTGGGAGGAAAGGGCATGGAATATCCTAAAAAAAGTCCCCTTTCAGAATCTTCCCCAAATCATTCCTGTGCTGGGAAGACATTTGTCCTCTGAAGAATGAGCTGCCATTCCCATGCAAATCTCAGACACCCTGGGACCCCTTGTCCATTCCCCTGCTCCTTGACCACTCAGCTCCTTTAGAATCATGCTGATAGTCTTTCCTCCAGCTGCCAGTGCCCTGGGTGGGGGCGGGGGGGGGGGTTATTGGTAACTTTATTCAAAAAACCTTGCCAACAGTTAGGTATGCTGATACTGCAGCCTATCAAGCCAGGTCAGGCTTGACAAAGCCCTGGCTGGGACACTTTAGTTGGGGATTGGTCCTGCTTTGAGCAGGGGGTTGGACTAGATGACCTCCTGAGTTCCCTTCCAACCCTGATATTCTATGATTCTATGCTGACTAATATTGTCTCATTGTTTCCTTGTGTTCTAACCTGTCTGTCTCTCTCCACCTGTTGTATTTTGTCTTATAATTAGATTGTAAATTCTTTGGGGCAGGGATCATCATTTTGTACAGCACCTAGCACAATGAGGGTCCTCGTCTATGACAAGGGCTCCTAATCACAATAAAAAAAAATCTGTGAATTAAAATGCTTCTGTTTGAAATGTCTTTTAGCTTCTATTGTTACAAGTTACATCTTACATTTACTGGTTTCAGAGTAACAGCCGTGTTAGTCTGTATTCGCAAAAAGAAAAGGAGTACTTGTGGCACCTTAGAGACTAACCAATTTATTTGAGCATGAGCTTTCGTGAGCTACAGCTCACTTCATCGGATGCAGATGAAGTGAGCTGTAGCTCACGAAAGCTCATGCTCAAATAAATTGGTTAGTCTCTAAGGTGCCACAAGTACTCCTTTTCTTCTTACATTTACTATAACTGATAGAGGGTAGAAAAATTTTTTCCTCTTGATTTTAGTTTGTGTATGAGACAGCACTTTGTGCAGAGTCATTGTCACCAATTCCCCTGTATAGCCAGGCAGGTTCCAGTCCTGCAAGAACAGGGGTCTGCACAGGGAACCACCTGCCTTTTATTTTGTGAGAGATGGGAGCCTTCGTTTGTCAGATTCCCCTGTTGGGTCTTTCATACAGCAACAACAAAGGGCTGGAAAGAACCTTTTTAAAAAAAAAACATGAAAAAGTTAGGAATCATGGTCCAATGTAAAAACCTGATTCTTGGAACTCTTTTTTAAAAAATTCTCTAGATTTCAAGTTTACAGTGCTCTATTTCACAGCTTGTAAAATCCAACAGCTACTCATCGTTTACCTTCAGACCCTACCAAGGGAGACAAGATGAGTGAGGTAACATCTTTTATTGGTCCAACTTCTGTTGGTGAAAGAAACAAGCTTTCAACCTACACAGAGCTCTTCAGGTCTGGGAAAAGTACTCATTTTCTCACACCAGTGCAACTCCTGTATGTATTTAGCTGTGACTCTGAGTACCTTTCCCAGACCTGAAGAAGAGCTCTGTGTAGCTCAAAAGCTTGTCTCTTTCTCATTCTCAGTCTAAATCAGAATACCAGGGAAGTCAATGGACGAGGTCCTTAGCTGGTGTCAATGATGCAGCTGCTTTGACTGAAATGCAGCTGTGCTGATTTACATCAGCTAAGGATCTGGTCCAAAGGAGTTGCACTGGTGTGAGAAACTCCACAGTCTTGCACCTTGTGTGGTTCTGTGAAGATGTGACCAGAACCTGGGTCTGCAGGACAGGTGACACCTCCACACCACTACCTGGCAGCAATGGGAAACCTGTAGGCATCACCACATACTTCCTGTGGAGATACAAACACAGGAAGTATCACCACAGGAGGCTGGACTGACATGCCCCAGATTGGTCCAGGCACACTACTTAAGCCCAGAGGAGTTCCAGGAAGCATCTGTGCAAGGAGGTCGACTTAGCTGCCAGTCATTGTGATGGATCTGCCTCTCTGCTTGCTCTCAGACCCTTGGCTCCAGGTTGGACCCTCGACTTCTACCCTTGAACTCTAACTCTGAGTCCAGCCCGATTTGGTACTTGGACTCTGACACTGGCTTTGATCCTTGGCTTCAGTACTGGGAGGCCAACTCCAGCTTTCAACCTCTGGTTTTGGAACCTGGACTCTGACTGTGGCTTTGATCCTGGGGCTTCAGTGCTTGAACTCTGACTCTGGCTACCGACCCTGGCTTTGCCCTTTGAATGCTGGCTCCACCCCTGCCCACTGGCATCAGTACTAAACCACAGCCCCAGTCCCGAACTCCAGCTATCACTCTTAGATTCTGATCCTGACCAGATTCTGATCCTGGTCTACCTGGACTCTGGCCATTGGGATGGACTGCCCACGCCCTGCTCGTAACACTTGTGTGGTCATTTACACCCATAAAATGGTTGTTTAAAATGGTTGGGGAGAGAGAAATAATTGTTGTGGTACAGCAATGGGGACATGGAGAAAGGAGAGACAAAGGGAAGAGAGTGACCTCACATCACCCTTTGCCAGCAGCCAGCCAGGGTGGTTCTGGGGGCAGAGCTAAACAACATTTATTTTAGTTACAACCAGAACTTGGTGGAATGGGCAAGGAGCGGGGTTTGGTTCAGGTTGTGACCCTGCTGTGTTCTAATCTGCTGTACCAAATGATGCTCCAACCACAACACAAGCTTTACCTGAACAATTGCCGCTGTTAAATACTGACCAGCACGAGGTCATGTCAGGAAGATGCCACTTGGCTCCCTGCCTCAATGCCCTTCTTTGTGAGCTGTACCCTCCTCAGTGTGCTTCAGGAACAGGGACAGTTTATTTGGTTACGTACCCAGAAACATGCACCAGCAGCAGCACGTAGAAGACAAAGAAGAGGTTGTGTGTGTACCAGAAGATATCGTAGTTCAAAAGCCTGCAAAGAATAAACTGTGGTTTAATGCCATTTGCAGATACTACACTCAGTCATTGCTAATTACAAGCAGCTCTGTGTATCTAGATGAAAATTATAAACATAGAAAAAGCAAAATCCAAGTCAGTTATGTAAAAAATATACACACACATTTGCCCACATTGAGTTGTTGAAAAGGAGAGGGGACTGGGTAAGCATGGAAGTGAGGGAAGGAGAGCAGGGAGTAGGAGTGCATGCAGGGAACTAAGGTATGGAGACTAGCCTGTTTTCCCAGGTCTCTACACAGCCTTCTACCCCACCCCTGCTGCCATAATGGCTCCCTGGCCCCAAAATTCAGCCTGTAACCACAGTTCTGCCACCAACACTGGCTCCCTCAGGCCACATCATTCACCCTGATGCTCTTGTAGACATTTATATTTTAAAATATTGAAAGTAACTATTAAGCATTTTCAATACAAATGGGTGTAATGGGAAGTGGGTAACGAGGTGTGTGGAAGGGAGGTAATCAGAGAGTTGAGGGAGAGGGGAGAAGGACTGAAGGAGGTGCAGGTATTTATGGTACACACGCAGGGAACTGAGGCAAAGGGTAACAGGGGGGAAAGTATGAAGATACTTCAGGACTTAGAGTTGACATACAGAGAGGGTTTTCTGGAATCCAGGGCACATAGAGGTAAATTGCAGGGAACAAGCAGTGCCACATAAGTGCAGGACAAAGGGGAAGAAGGACTTCCTTCTATTGATGATTTTAAAAACTAGGGAAATTCTCCCCACATAAAAACTCTGTGAACTGTCACTTAACTTTATTCCTTTCTCCATGAATACAATCATCTCTCAAAAAAACTAGGAACTCACTAGTTAAGGAAATATTCACCCATAAGCTACCTATCTTCACAAATACACAACACAGCACATTCCAACCCTGTACAGCAGCACAATGTACACAATGTATTCTCTTCCAATACAAACCCTTATCCCCATCCACAATACAAATCAAAAATTAAATCATACACAAACTTAACTCTTACTATATAATTTAAGAAGCTATTCTTAAGACATTGCAAACATACACTAAGTCTCTCTCTGAAATGTCTTTGTCTCCTTTTACCTAGACAGCTTATATCTGGCACACTGCCTAACTATAAACATTATTTCTTTTTACTAAATCAGAACTTTTTAAAACACATCAGACTGCTTCTTATCTACTATCTGTCATTCAAAATAGACATTTATCAAAATCTAATTTCCCAGAAATCAGAGTTCTTGAAAACCTGAGTTCAAATTGTGTATTTAATTCCCACTTTGGAAAATTGGCCTTGGTATGTGCGTGGGTGTAGATTTGCATTGGAAGGGAATGTGTATGTGATGGTTTATAGGATAATGATGTGAATGACTATTGTTATATGTGATTGAGAAGATAGCTTGTGTATGAGCAAGTTTGGAACTTATTTAGGAAGCCCTGAAAAAGTGGTGTCCTATATTTTAGTGATTGAGTTCATGGGAAAGGCCCTGGAATAAATTTAACTTGTAACTGGATCACATTTCAGCATTTTTCTGTATGTTTTATTACACTTTATAATAATTCAACCCCCCTCCTAGCAAATGGCTCTTGAATGAAGTTGCTACACAAGCTATTGCATGAAAGAAAAACATTTTAAAAAAATTAAGAAGGTTTTTCAAGAAGTGTATTCAACTGGTTTTGTTCTAAAATTCATATGTCAGAAACTGTTTATCCATTTCACCTCACATTTGTATCAAGCCTTTATTTATTGCAAATATAGAGACAGCATGAAAGGAAGTGGAAAGAGTTTTCAGGAGAAGACAGAGAGGACATGAAGGAGCAGATGGGATTACAGGAGGAGAAACGGGCTTGAACACGATAGGTGGCTGCAGAGCTGTGGAATGCTTGAAGAAAAGAAGCTTGATCTTTATACAGAAGAGGAGATGCCACTGTAATGAATCTAGAAGAAGAGGCACTGTTGGAGCACTAAGAGAGAAAAATTAGGTTTTGATGGGAGCGGAGTTTTAGGGAGGGGAGACTGAAGGGCAGGAGGTTGCAGTAGTCAAAACGGGATATAACTAGTACACAGTCTTGGAAACAGGGAAACCTTTGTTGCCTGGATCAGGAAATTACTACGATAAAAATTTAAAACTGTTCATTATTTCCAAGAATGTTTGCATTGCATCTCTTTCTCTTTTTTTATTTAAACAAATGCTGCTATTATTTTCTAATTTATGTTGGCCTTGGAGAAAACAGACTTTTGCTTTTGGAAAAGCACTTGCAGAGCTGTATCAGTCTGAAGTGATCATTTAGCGTTTCCACCTTTTATGAAATGGGTTTAGCTTTGGAGGCAAAGCCTTCAGCATAGCTTACATCCTGCCCAATTATCTTGAAATCTTATCTTGAGTCTAGCAGCACTGCAGTCTAATCCTGCTCAAATTCAGTGCTTCTGTAGCTCCACCTGGGGCTGCCAATTAACATAAGAACATAAGAATGGCCCTAGTGGATCTGATCAAGGGTCGATCTAGCCCAATATCCTGTCTTCTGACAGTGACCAGTGCCAAGTGCCCCAGAGGGAATGAACAGAACAGGTAATCATCAAGTGATCCATCCCCTGTCACCCATTCCCAGCTTCTGGCAAATTCCCAGCTTCTGACCTCACTAAGGTCCTGATTCAGGAAAGCATCTGTGTTCAGGAAAGGTTCTTAAGTACCTACTCAACTGCTTCCTCAATCAAGGCCTAACAATAATAATAATAGCTAGCTAAGACATGCTGGTTCAGCAGTGTAACTTACATATGCCTAACTGACGTAATTGGGACTAATCTCTCATGCTTTGAGTTAGGCACATCTGTAAGTACCTTGTTGAATTGGGATCTAAAACCCCAATTCTGCAAACACTTGATTCTTGATTCTACAAAATCATTAATCTACTCAAGTGATAAGGATTACTACATTAGCAAAAGTTATGCATGTGTTTGCAGGATCAGGGCCTAAGGCCAGAAAGGCTACCAAACTCGATCCTGTAGGCTGTTGAGCACTCTGACACTTAAGTCCTTGGAGCAGGCACCACAGAGCATTAAGCCATTGGCGTTCACAAGGACTCTGCACTGAAAAGGGTAAGATACAGTTCCCTGCTCGTTTTCTCTCTAGACCAGGGATCGGCAACCTTTAGCACACGGCCTGTCAGGGAAATCCGCTGGCGGGCAGGGCCGGTTTGTTTACCTGCAGTGTCTGCAGGTTCAGCTGATTGCGGCTCCCGCTGGCCACGGTTCGCCGCCCCAGGCCAATGGGGGCTGCGGGAAGCAGTGGCCAGCACATCCCTCAGCCCATGACGGCAAACCGCTGCCAGTGGGAGCTGCAATCAGCCGAACCTGCAGACACTGCAGGTAAATAAACTGGCCCGGCACGCCAGCAGATTTCCCCTGATGGGCAATGTGCCAAAGGTTGCCGATCCCTGCTCTAGACTGTCATCTCCATTAATAATGTTACCTGAGGCTTTGACCAAGAATTATTGTGTTCAGTTATGAAATGTGGTACCCAGAATTCTTAATATCCCCTTAAAAAGACACTAAGTCAACTAAATGGCACATTTCTATCTGAAGTATTTTGTCAATTTATTGTTACAAGTAACACCCAAGGAAGGATGAAAAAAACTACATTAACCTCTGATTTTTCCAGATTTATTTTGTGCATTTGATAGCACTTCGTGTACAATTAGTTTCACTGGTACCACTGTACAGTCAGTTTACTGTGTTGCTTGTGTGGATCTTTCACACAGTGACGGGGGAGAGTAAAACTGTCCAGATTTCAAGTTTACCATGTCTCTTAAATAAATCTACACTCTGAAAACATCATCAATTTGCATATTTATTGTACAAATACTGATTCCAAAACTTAATGTGCTAGTTTACCTACAAGTTAGTGCAACAAATGGAACAAGATATTTGATATTTTCCTTCCATTTATATAATGCCTGTTACATATCATTGTAGTTGCTCTGTATTCCTTCTAATCTGTGGCAGAATACGATTGCTCAGACTGTGATGTTCAATGTAATAATCAGTTTAAGTCTTACCTGATAGCATATGTAGAAGCTGTGCACATTAGGAATAAAACTAACACCATCAGGACCCCAGTCAGTCCTGGAACTGCAACATAAACACACATAGATTTAAAATTATAATAGGAAAAGGTATACTCATCTTTTATGACCATTTAAAGTGCTGGTCTGTATTAGGAACACAAATCATGTATTGATCAAAATGATTTATGTAATGTATTTATAAGAGCCAATTTTCCAAATGAACATAGTTTCAGAGAATTTTGTGCAAAAGAGATTTTCACTGTTATTCTCCATCTGGAGAGGGGAAAATATGTTTTCTTCCTTGCATTAGTCCAAGTATATACAGATACATCTAAAATTCACAATTTACTGTTCACTCCTCCTCTTGTACCCCCTTTGCACCATGAACCAGCTAGAGCTCAGCAGGTAGCTTTCTAACAGCACAGGCTTTCAGTTTGCTGTAAAGGCTGGTTTTATAATAACTTTTGAAATCTCTTTCAAAGCGAGTTACTTGCAGAACATTTCCATTTTAATTTTGAGTGTTAAATTTTTTTTAAAATGTACAGCTCTCCAAAACAGCACAATTAAAAAACTGGTCACAGACAGAATTTCAAGCAAATCAATTGCAATGCCAGCTGTTGCTAAGATCATTTGCAGACCCATTTTACCCTGAAATGGGAAAAATGCTGCAATTAGTCTTCATGACATAGTATAATGTTTGAAGTTGTTGACTGTAGAACAAAACCTGCGAGGATGAGCTGCAGTCAGCATTCCAGAGTGATAGGACAAAGATTTTAAATTACCTACCTTAATGCTGGCATCTGATTTTCAAAGTTGGTGGCTTAAGAATTATGTATAATGAGCAAACATTTAAAAGCCATGAAGAGTTACATATGAATATTTTACCTCTTGAAGAAAGCAAATCATTCAGAGTTTTAACATGTAAGGACCCAGGCCTGCAAAGCCCCATGCTTAATATAACATAAAGCCAATAGGACCACTCACAGTGTGTAAGGTTAAGCATATGCCTAAGTCTTTGCAAGATTATGCTCTAAGAGCTTGATCCTGCTTCCACTGAAGTCAATGGCAAAGCTTCCATTGGTTATAATGGGGCAGGATCAAGTCATGTTTGCTTCCAAATGTAGGCCAAAATTTTCAGAAATGACGAGTGGTTTTAAGTGTCTCAATTTTTGAGTGCTCCATTTGAGACTTGACTTTTAGAAAATACTGAGCACCAGAAAACCAGACTACTTTAATGTGCCTAAAGTTAGGGACCCAAAAATTGAGACACCCAAAATCAGTACTCATTTCTGAAAATCTTAGGATGAAATCCTGGCTCCACGATCAATGGGAGTTTTGCCAAGGACTTCAGTGGGTCCAGGATTTCACCCTAGATCTTAGAAAAAACAAGGAGAGTTGCAATACAATTTGTCTCCTTTCTCTTCATTTATTCTTTTTAAATATAGATTTTCAATCTGTGCATGACTAAAAAGTTATCCCCTCCTCCTCCCATTACCCCTGCACTCCACTCAAAACACAGCTGCTAAAATCAGCTTCCTAAGCCTTCATTCCAGTCATGTGAGCCCACTCTTCAAATCCCCAACACACTTGTCCTTCTCTTCTGCATCAAATTCAAGATTCTTGTTCTCACCTACAAACCCCTTCTCAACTCTGTCCCCTCCCTACTTATCTGCTTTTATTTATTTTCCCTTTACCCCCCACACCATTCCTGATACTCCTTTAGTGATGGCAACCTTCAACATCCATCTGTTTCTCCCACAAGCCTCTTCACACTTCCTAGTACGCTGCCCCTCAGCATGGTGTGTCCTCACCGGATTAATCCATAAAGTCATCATCCTCCTCTGCCTACAAGTCCCATATCTGCTGTGTTGCCTTCAAGAAATCAGCCACCAAATCTGATTGTCAGCTCTTTGGGGCAAGGACAGTCTTTTTGTTCTGTGTTTGTACAGCCCTTAGAACCATGGGGACTAGTCAATGGCTGGGGCTCCTAGGCACTATGGCAATAATAATAACTAATGGTTGGTCAGGGATAGCTCATTTTATTTAAAATTAAGATGAATGGGAACTATCCGTTTGTGCAATAGCACCCCTGTACTCTTATTGCTGCAACCCCTCTCCTTCCTTCCTTCCATCCTCTTGTTGTTTCATTTGTTGCCTCCTGTCTCAAATTAGACTGTAAACTCTTCAAGGTGAGGACAGTGTCTACCAATGTGTTTGTACAGCACCTAATAACAACAGGGCCCCAAACCTAGTTGGGACATCTAGGCACTACCACAATTCAAACAACAACAATAACGGTGATTCAAAATGGTTGCTGCATTCTCACCTGAATGCTTCTGCTATTTTTTTTTACAAGTTAAACTCTTAAAAATTTAAAATTATACTAAAAAAAAAAAAAATTAAACCCCCCACACCTTAAGCCTTAAACCACCTGTGCCAAGTATTGATTCCTACACTGCAGGATATGCAATCCCCCTGCATGGTTTTGATCTCTCTAGGCTGGGGAGCATAAATGAAAACCTGGCCTCTGTGAAGAAAATGGAAGGTCTGATACTGACTTCAGTGGGACAGGACTTCAACACGTGGGCACAATGGGCTGAAAGAAGGATGCTATTAAATTACTGATCTAGAGAGTCAGGCCAAAACATCCCTTATGAGTGAATACACTGAGAAGTGAAGAGGAATGAAAATGACACAAGGTTTTCCCCTAGCTCCCTTAGGGAGACATGGGTTCCACCTTGCAGGCTCTCACTCTAATACAGTGCGTTCCCCAAGATCCACACAGCTCTCAAGGTATCCACAGAAGCAGGGTCATTCATGGAGAGGCTGTGGGCTGTACAATGTGCAGTCAGGCCCTCTCCCTGATCCAAGGCAACGCTGCTTATACTTTATTTGCACCTCCTATTAGATGTTGGTTTTGATGCACCCTCCCTCTTCCTCCTCCTTAGTCTGTGAACAACCCTCACCTTGAACACCCACTGAATGCCACATCAATGCCAACTGCACTACTTCTATCAAAAGAAGGCTGAAGGGAGAGATGATCACTATCTATAAAAACATCAGAGGGATAAATACCAGGGAGGGAGGGGACACAAGAACAAATGGATAAAAACTGGCCATCAACAAATTTAGGCTTGAAATTAAGTGAAGGTTTCTAACCATCAGAGGAGTGAAGTTCTGGAACAGCCTTCCAAGGGGAGCAGTCGGGGACAAAAAACCTAACTGGCTTCAAGACTGAGTTTATGGAGGGGATGAGATGCTGAAACTGCCTACAATGGCATGTAGCCGATCTACAACTGCTTGTAGCAAATATCCCCAATGGTTAGTGATGGGACACTAGATGGGGAGAGAGAATTAATACAGAGAATTCTTTCCCAGGCGTCTGGCTATTGGGTCTTGCTGAAATTCTCAGGGTCCAAATTACTGTCATATTTGGGGTCTGGAAGGAATTTTCCTCCAGGTCAGATTGGCAGAGACCCTCGGGAGTTTTTGCCTTCCTCTGTAGCATGGGGCTCAGGTCAACTGCAGGTTTAAACTAGTGTAAATGGTGGATTCTCTGTAATGTGAAATCTTTAAATCATGATTTGAGGACTTCACTAACTCAACCAGAGATTATGGGTCTATTACAGGAGTGGGTAGGTGAAGTTCTGAGGCCTGCAATGTGCAGGAGATCAGACTACATGATCATACTGGTCCCTTCTGGTCTTAAAGTCTGAGTCTATGCCAGTTAGGCAACAGAGTTACACCACCATTTAGATTATCACTGATTTTCTATGGAAGCTGCACCAGCTGACACCTGGTCTAGATTTGGCTTAGAACCTTTGAAAACTGTGTTTTCTATAGACTTCTAATTCCAGTAAGTGCAACAGGAGCAAGAGACACCGGACCCCATCATGCAGTCCTTTCAAATGAAACTTTTTTTGGCGTGTTTCTATGCTGTCTTGCACCAACCCCTACCAAATCAGAATAGCAGCATTCTGTCTTCATTCTGTGCTCAAGGTGAAACACAGCAGAAAAACAGACCCCGTAGGTGCCAATAGGAGTTGTGTCTAAGCCAGGAGAGTCTGCATCAGGCCCAGGGAATCCATTCCATAATGGGAATACATTGTTCTCTGTCATGTGCATGCAACTAAAACCTCTTTGCTCATTTATTTTTATGATTATAGTTGCTTGCTTCCATGTTGCAGCTGAATCATTCTAAAGTTGAACTGCATAAACCAGCTGAGACAACCAGTCAGTGTTTTGGTTACATTTATTTTTCTAACATTAGATAATACAGAAATATGGTTTTAATATTATGTAGAATCTCTGTTTGAAATTATGTTCCACTGACTCATCTGCAGAATAACAGCACTGAAGACTCTGCTCACACCACTCCAAGGATTTCTATAACTCCTCCTTCCTGACTACTGGATAAGCAAACCTAGGTTCATCTCGTCATATGCTTGATGTAACAAATGGCAGATTTGTATAATACCAACACAGAAACTAAATATTTTGTCTGGAGTGTGACGATGAAAAATGGCAAACAGTTATGGTTGTTATTTTTTTGGTTTGCAGATAACAGAGCAATACATTATCAAGCCATTATATTGAATGCATATTTTCTAAATATTCTAATTGAGGTTACTGAATCAGTATCACATAGCCTCAGTTAGATCACAGTTTTCTTGTGAAAATAGTGAAATTTTCCCTGCAGTCATCTCAAGTTGGGGGGAGGGGTTATTATCCACTGACACTCTGTGAGGCAGCAGCTTTCCCTTTGTTTAAAGTTAATCTCACCTCTGAGGGTCTGAACACCCTCAAATCTCACTGAAGTCAGGCAAGGAAGTTGAGGTTCCTCAGTACCTTGCAAGTCTGGGCTGTCCATAAAGGACAGGTAAGCAGATGAAGTGGGTCAGTTGTCATAGAATATCAGGGTTGGAAGGGATCTCAGGAGGTCATCTAGTCTAACCCCCTGCTCAAAGCAGACCAATCCCCAATTTTTGCCCCAGATCCTTAAATGGCCCCCTCAAGGATTGAACTCACAACCCTGGGTTTAGCAGGCCAATGCTCAAACCACTGAGCTATCCCTCCTCCCCTGATATCCTATAACAACAAAAAGCCCCTAAAGTCGGGTTCAGGCTATAACCTAGCCCTTCAGTTTGCCTCCTTCAGAGGCTCACTCCACTTCTAAATATTAGGAGAGATCTATTGAGCGGCCTGTATTAACTTGGAGCAACAACCTGGACTAGTCATCCCCCATTATACCCTGTCTCCATCAATGTTGCTCCATGAGATGAGGCTCTACAGCAGTGGTTTGCAACCTTTTTTCATTTGTAGACCCCTAAAATTTTCAAATGAAGCTGTGGACCACTTTGGAAATCTTAGACATAGTCTGCAGACCCTGAGGTACCCAGGGACCACAGGTTGAAAACCACTGCTCTACAGGGTCCACCCTCTGATTTATTTTCTCTCTTCTCCAAAAACTAAAGGCCCTCGTCCTTCTCTCGCTGAAGTCAATGGAAGTTTTGGTTTTGACTGGAACAGGAGCAGGGCAGGTCCCCATGATCATTTGTATATTGCTGTGTGGATACAGTGAAATACCTTTAAGAACACTTAGGAACACTGTGGTCCCAGCTCTGCCCCTACAGAAATGGAGGTAAATCCGACTGGGGGTGGAAGTGAGACTCTTGTCTGGCTGAGAATATATTTCTGGTTTGATTGCAATATGAAATCTAAACTAACTAATCAGCTTATCAACTCTGCACAGAAGGTTACCAACTTACCAGTAGTGAAAAGGAGTTTCCTGGGGTCCTGAAAAATAGACACAAAAACACACAAAAATCAGTTGCTATTTATCATTTTATATCTCTTAATATAAGAAACTGCTCATCATTTCCACATGCCTCGCTACGACAGTCGATCCCTAAACCTGGCTGTAAAAGTGGACTGCGTAACTGGTAATAGAGAACAATGACAACTACGTTCCATCAATGTACACTGAACCTTTTGCCAACCCTTGCAACCATTTGCAAAAACCAAATGCACACTGAATAAGAAAGCAGAGTAGTGAGACAATCAGACACTTCTCTGCTTTCATAGATAATCATTTTACAAAACAACTTTCCCTAGCTACTGAATAGTTGCAGGAGAGGGATGAGATTTTAAAGCTGAATATAAAGACAAGGGGCAACTATGTTGCTCCCATTGAAGTCAACTGGAGTTTTGTCACGGACTTCCCTGGGAGCAGGAGTGAGCTTAACATGGCTGCCTCAAGGAGTTCACAATATCAGGCCAAATGCTTCTCTCCACTTCCTTGTGGGAGGTTCGGGGGGAAAAAGCAGCAGATCTGAGTGGAGGGGAAAAGGCAGAGTGCCAACACTATAGCATGTTTCCACAATCCCCTTGATCCTGAGGAAGTCCCTCTATGGCCTTGTCTTCACCAGTGTGGGGGAAAGTGTGTTCTTACCTCGAGTTAACTACCTCGAGATAAAATCCTAGTGGAGGCAAGGCAGTTAGTAGTTTTTGTATGAGTTAGCTGGTTGAGTTAAAGATGAGGCTCCTCCATAGGCTTTAACTCAACCTGCTAACTCATGTGAAAACTTCTAACTGCCTTGCCTCCACCAGGATTTTGCCTCAGGTTCATTCATTCAAGTTAAGAACACACCCTTTTTTTTTTTTTTTTTTTGGTAGTGAAGACCAGGTCCATGAGGATCATGGGTGAGAGGGGCAGGCTGAGGGAAGAAGCAATTATGGAGCAAAGGAGACAGTCATCCTCCATGGAATCATTCCTCCACTCAACTTCAGAAGGACTCTGTGAGCATAAGTTAATGCTGACCTTGTAAGCACTAAATGATTCCTATTTCCGCACCGCTTTGGGCAAAGCCTACCACCCAAAGAACAGTTAGGGAGCAATGCACAGTGGGGAAGCCTGTGGGAGCATTACTCCTGTAGGCAGTGCAAAGGCAGGAGAAGACTTTAAGACTTCCTCAGGCCAGAGTGTTTCCCACAAATGACTTTAGGCCCTACATTCTGATATGATTTAAGGAGGCTACATCAGAGATAGAAAAGTCAGCTGAGTGTGGCATTTTGCAAGCAGAATGCAGCTTCCAGCCTAATTCAGGCAGACAATTAAAGCCAAAATAAAAGTATCCGATACTGTTCCCATTCAAGCCAACAGCAGTTTTGCCATGCCTTGACTTGAATGAGAGCAGGATTGGCCCAAATCTTGTCATCCTTCAATCCATATGTCACATTACACTGTCTGTGCAATGCTGCAAATGCAGCATCTCTTCTCCTGCCTCTCCCATTTTATAAGGTCCAATGATAGCAGCATAAATGATTCAACAAGGCCTGCCCAGCAGCAGGGCAGTAAACTAAGACAGAACAGTGAAGTGACTTGCCAAAGGGCACACAGAAAGGCAGTGGGGGAGACTGCTGCTGGAGATGTGGGTCTCCCAGAACCACCCTCGCTCACATGTTTGGGGACTCTCAATCCTTTTGGTTAGACGTCAGTAGGAGGATTAACATGATAATGGATACCACCTTAAAAATTAAACCATCATCCTGAAAACTCTCCACCTCCATGGAAATCTTGGTTCTCTAGCCAAACAACTCATGTTACAGAAACGGAAAAGAAGCCTGCCTCCAGGGACAGAAGCTTGGCTCAGCAATATGGCTGTCCTGGCAGCTAAAGAGCAGGTAACATTTTGGAGAAGAGGGACCCCAAGACAAATTGGCAAAGATATGGTCTAACTTTTTAGAAATCTTTAATTCCTAGCAGATAGAAACCAAGCTGTTGCTCTCCTTTTCCTTCCCTTCCCCCTTTCCTTTCTTTCCTTTCCCTCCCTTCCCATTCCTTTACTTTTTTTGTTCTTTTTGTCTTTTTCTCCCCTTATTTTTGGGGGAGGGAGGATTAATAAAATATAAATAAATAAGTGACTTGCTTAAGGTCGCACAGAAAGTCAGTGGCATAGCCAGGTCTCCTGACTCCAGTCCTAGTACTCTAGCCGTCGAAAGGAAGAAAAGAAATCAAGAGGATACTGCATTTTCACAGTATGCAAGACAAGCACCACTGTACACATCACTCATGGAAACTATAAGGCACCATACAAGTTACAACTATTTCAAGGAATATATAAAGGAACAGGTCACCCACCTCACCGCGGTAGTTTGCTGCATTTAGCGCCAAAAATTCTTCAGTATAGTTCACAGAGAAGTTAAGGACATTCACCAGGTGTGCGGCAACATGTAAGACTATAAAACGGAACAAATCTCAGTTCACTAAGATGCATTTTGAAGATTATGTGAAGCCCCTAACCCTGGTAGCTCATATGTGTAGGTGGATCCCTGTTCTTACACACATGAGTTTGTAGATCTGGGTCCCAAGTGACTGACTAGGCTGATTCCGTCATTATAATTTAGTCTATCCTACTCCTAGCCTTTATATATAAACTACCTGTTTATCATTTTCCTTTGCATATTTGGAACATTAAATTTTCTGACCTGCAGATTTTATATAAGAACCTTCTTTATGGAACTCATTCAGCTCTGACTGAATTCAATTGGAAAACTCCCATTCACTTTAGGGGAAACAAGATCAGTCCTAAGACACCATATGCTATTGTTGTACTAAGTGAGTTGGACAGATAGGCTGATATGAAAATACTACTCATTTTGAACCTTTTAAAGTACTGTAATTTATTTTCCCATTATAATTTTGATTGGGAAACTGAATCAAAGGACTGTGTCAACGCTATGTTAACACTTCATTGAAAGTGGCAATATTTTGTGGTATTTACCTGTATTGCCCACACGTTTGCAATAGATCTTTTCATCTCTAACATTCATGCCTCCTCATTTAAATTGACTACATGTGGTCTGAAATCAGTTAGGACGGCAGCTTTTAATTTGATTTCATATAAGAAATAAGAACTGACACTTCAGAACCTGTAACTTTTAAGGAAAGTCTTTCCACCCACATTTAGATCCCAGGCTTCAAAAATGTCTGAGAAAACATTCACGCGTCTAAACAAAGAAACACAGAGAAAAACTACCCCAAAACGTACTGCACAAGAAAAGCCACAAGTGACTTGTATTGTTTAATATGCTTCCCACATGAGCTAGTGCTCAGCACAATAAAATCTTACCTGAAAAGACACATATAGTAACACCACATGTTACATGGAAAGTTTTACTTTTATCCAACAGCCTTCTTGTTTTCCTGCTGGCAACCTAGTAAAAAAAGAATTCAAGCAATCTCTCTTCTAAGATGAAGCAATGGAAAATAAAGTTAAAAGTAATTGATGTTCTAGACATGATTTCTTTGTCAAATTAACTTTTATACGAGGTTTAATGCTATTTGATCACAACACCTACATTTAGTAGGAACAGGATTAGACACAACAGGGTAGCTCCATGGGCTTGATGCAGAAGTTACTAGAAGATGTTGTTTGGTGTGTGTTATTCAGGAGATCAGACTAGATCAGCAAAATGGTCCCTTCTGGCCTTAGGATCTATGGGGATAAGGCTTCACTTGCGCTCACTCTTCTTGTGCACACGGGCACAAGATGACCTTACTTACCAAAGCAAGAAATGTTCTTAGCACTGGGCCCAACCCAGCTACCAGCCAAGTCAATATCAATACTTTCCTTAGCTTCAAAGGGATCCGGAGCAGGGTCCACACACAATGTATCTACCGTGCACATCTAGGATACCTATCTGCAGACCAGCACTATCTACAGCCAAGCAAATGAATAGTAACTAAATATGTGTGTACTGTAACCTTTCTAATATTTCTTAGGAATCTGTCTATGTGCATGGTCCTTATTAACTGATTGATTCTAAATGTTGTTTACCTTCTGAGATCCTCGGAGGAAGGCCAGGAGAATACGGCACATCGGTAAAAGGACCAGGCTGCAGTTCAGGTTGAGGACAGATGCTGAAGCTCTGCTAATACACAATCCTAGCTGAACAAAGACAGCAAGAGTCAGATTATAGAGTGATAGTATGGTCCAGTATGGGTAGGGGGCTAGGCTAGGCTAGAACTTGGGAGACCCAGGTTCAATTCCCTACTCTACCACAGGTTTCCTATGTGACCTTAGGCTCTCTGTGCCTCAGTTACTCCTCTAAATAAATAATAGTACTTCCCTAATTGGTAGGGGAGTTGTGGGGATAAATGCACTAATGACTGTGAGGGGCTCAGGTACTATGGTTGGACGGGGCTATGATAGATTGTAACAAAATATATATTACACCCTTAATGTCAAAAATTAAGGTGGCTTTACAAAATGAACTAAATTTGTCCCAAAGAAACAATTTTGAAGACCCTGTAGAGTACGGCGACCAGATATCAAGTTTGAAAAATCAGGAAGGGGGTGGGGGATAATAGGTGCTTATCTAAGAGAGAGCCCCAAATATCGGGACTGTCCCTATAAAATTGGGACAGCTGGTCACCCTACTGTAGAATAATTAAAAGAATTCTTTGCTCTTCCCTAGAGGAGCTTGGAGGTGCCCAGTTGTTGCCTCTGAGAGCAGAAGAATCTGGAAAGATTTTATAAGGGGCAGGACTCAGCCCCATAAGTAACTATAGCTATAGTTCAGACCTAGCTACGTAAAAGAAGAGAGAAAATCTACTGTGAGGATTTGTTGACCTAATCGTAGGCCTGATCCAACTCCCACCAAAGTCAATGGAAAGACTCACTTTGACTTCAGTAGGAATTGGACTGGCCTCTTTTTATGTCAAAAGGTGACATCTCACTTGGAAAGAACTGCCACCCTAAGCAACGTTCACAAGCACGTGGAAGGGAATAAATCAAAAGCAACCCTAATGTCAATGGAGCAACCACCCTCTACGTGGCCAGAGGGGTCACACAGCCATAGTTAGAGAGGAGGAAAGGATTAAACAGCGTGAAGACTCTCATTAGCCACTTAACTAAAATTTAATGGCTTTGTGATAAATGAGCCAAAGAACAACGTCATACGTTAATTCAGCTAAAATGGAAATAATTGTGCCGTTTCAGAGACGGTTGGAATAGACTCACAGTAGGTCCTTACCAAGTCACACACTGCTAATAAGCACATTCCCTAAATTGGACCCCAAATCAGCAATGGGGAGTTGATAGCTGGAAACTCCACTCACTAAAGCTTTTATAAAATATGCTATATAACATTTACTGGTCCACTTGGATCCTAACTAATTAAACCTAAACCTCACGTCAAATAAATGAGCAAAGTACACCTTGTGATGCCTTCACCCTAAATTCACAAAATTTAGCAATTTGCAGCAGCTCTCCCCGTTATTAGTTTGAATTTGCATTTTTCTGTTAGCTTTTACAAAAGATGCAGTCAGACTGTCAGTAGATAAAGACATTTTATTCCTAAGGGACGTCTGTAGAAATACAGCATCTCGCACACACACAAAAAACGATTAAAAAAGTATACATGTTAAAAGACAAGTCATTTTTGCATATGTGTATTTTTAAAATATAAATGAAAATAAAAATATAGTATCAATTTTTAGGATACGGCTGATTGAAATTTTTGTCCTTTTTCAAAAAAAAATAAAACATAGCTATTTTTGTAACATGTAACCTCAAATGTAATCAAAACAATTTCAGGTTTTTTTCACTTTCTTTAAGGGGGAAAAAGAAAGGAAAGGGGAAAAAATGAAAGAAAAAAAGAGAGGTGGAAACCAGGAGAGGAGGGTCAGTTTACAGTTAGTTGAAAAATTAAAAAAAACAAAACCTGTGAAGTGTTTTGGAAAAAAATGAAAATTTGTCATTTCTTTCTACGCTTTTTTGTGGAAAACAGAATTTTCCCACTAGCTCTAATATTACATATACATACACTCTCAAATAAAATAATTAACATACACTTCTCATTTAGAATTCACGCAGTCTACCAAGACTACGTCCACTGTAACATTAGAGGAGGTGCTGTCTTTCTGATGAGGCATAAAACTAAGATCTAAACTCGTTATAGTCATTAAAGATCCCAGGCATATTTTATAAAGGCAGAGGTAATAACCCTGGCTTCTTGTCCGATTTCTGACATGGGCAATTATATTGCCCAAACAGTATTAACTCATCCTCTTTGATTCCTGTCCTGTTATTTAGAGTTGCTGTGTACTATTTAGGAGTGCCAATTTCCACTCCAGAGGGGCTGCATTACAGGCGATAGATGAAGAGATGCCTAAATCTTGATTACAGATTATTATATAAAGGACAGCGGGGACAAAATCCTGTGGATCCCTACCAGGCACAGAGCCACAGAAAGGTGGTGACGGTAACAATGATCTTATTTTTACATGGTACCTTTCATATAGAAGGATCTGAAATCACTTGCACAGGTTTGGGCCCGGCGGTCCCCTGTACTGGGAAAGGAAATTGTGGTGGTTGCATGCCTGCACAGAGTTTGCAACAGTGGATGATTCTCCCCTATACGCCCCATCTCTTTGTAGTGAGTTTGACCACAAAGCCAACGGGTACCTGAAATACGCACAGATTGTATGAGATCTTCAGTGGAGAGGGCCACCTGGGGGGAGCATCTGTGCCTCCACATTGGCTCCCAATCCCCCCAGCTCCTTTCAGTCCTCTGCGTTAGAGCTGAGCTGTTAGGTGTTCCCCCCATCAAACACTAGCCTCCAGAGAATGAAGGGAGACTCGCAAATGTCCATAGTGTTGTGATGATGGCATGAAAGAGTGATCACCCACTCACCACACACATACACCCTGGACCTGCTCTCTGCCATATCAGGGATCTAGACCTCTGCTGAATACCAACTGAGCTGCTTCCATGGGAACAAGGATAAGTGGGATTTAGGTAAAAGAGGCCACAGTCATCAACCCACAGTTCAAAAGGAGTAAAAAAAATCATTTGAACATTGTGGCATTCATAGTAAACATAGTACTTCTATTTCCTTGCCATAGATTAGGCTTAAAGTGACTCCCAGGTTATGCAAAATGAATCATTTTAGAACATCACAAATATTTTTGGAGTATCAGAAAAGTGGCAGTGTTCTGTTTTGCTCTGGCATATCTGTGTATGCTGAATTCTGGAGAGGTGAAGTTTGTTGCTATTTTCATTAGTTATTATTTCTGTAAAGGAAGTCTAGAAATGAGCTGTATATGTCAAAGGAATAATTTTTAAGAAACCGAAATTAAAGTGTTTAAACATTTTCATTAGAGGTTTTTGACACAAAGAACGGGTTAGAGAATCTCAGTGATGAAATGAGAAACACGGCAATGATCTGAACTACAGTTTATGCAAAATCCAGAAAAAATGAGAGTGCTAACAGAAAACATTCCAAAGCTCAAGAATAATAAGCAAAGCAACTGGTAAACTTTATAACTTCTGTTATCTGGCACATGTGATACATCACAAGGATATTGAACACAAGGATTTCTGCTTGGGTTGAAATGTACAGCATCCACGCAGCCATTATCTAACAGTGCTTGTATCAGATTGCAAGCTCTTAGAGGCAAGGGCCATGTTTTGTTTCGTTGTTCTGTTTGTACAGTGCCTAGCACAATGGGGTGCTTGTCCACGACTGGGGCTCCTAGGCATAACAATAACACAAACAATACGTAATAATAATTAGATGTGATTATCTCACAAAAAATTACAATGGAATCCTATGTCTATTGTTAGCTGAGCCCAGGGTGATTACTGTCTTGAACATTATTAAATATGGTGAAATTATTTCTTGTCAGAATCATAGGGTTAGAAGGGACCACAAGGGTCATCTAGGCTTACCCCTGCCAAGATGTAGGATTTGTTGTGTCTAAACCATCCAAGACAGATGGCTATCCAGCCTCCAAAACCTCCAGTTAAGAAGCTTCCACAACCTCCCGAGGCAGTTTGTTCCATTGTCCTATTGTTCTTACAGTTAGGAAGTTTTTCCTGAGATTTAATCTAAATCTGCTATGCTGTAGTTGAACCCATTGCCTCTTGTCCTGCCCTCTGTGGCAAAAGAGAACAACTTGTCTCCATCTTTTTTATGGCAGCCTTTCAAGTATTTGAAGACCGCTTTCATATCCCCCCTCAATCTCCTCTTTTTCAAACTAAACATGCCCAGTTCCCTCCGCCTTTGCTCACATGGCTTGCATTCCATCCCTTTGATCATCTTTGTCACTCACTTCTGGCTTCTTTCCAGTTTCTCCACATCTTTTCTGTACATTTGGGACCAAAACTAGACACAGTACTCCAGCTGAGGCCTAACCAGCACCAAGTAGAGCGGTACCACCACTTCCCACGACTTGCATGCTATGCCTCTGTTTAATGCAACTACACGGCTATTTTTAGCTCTGTAATATAAGCCCAGGGAGCCCAAGTCTGTTGACCCGAGTTGGAGTCTTGCTCCCCTGGACTCTGTAGACACACCCTAATGGTTCCAATTGAAGGAGCGCCCCAAAAATCTGAACCATGTATACGGCAGGTGGGCTGGAAATAGCTTAAGGAAAGCACTGTATGCAGCATTTCAGCAGCCCATCTTCCATCATCAAAATGAGGAGGAGTGCAACAGGAAAGTTTGCCCAGAGTTTTTTCCCCAAACTTCAAAATGGCTCAGTTCTGCTTTAGTACGCAGAGTGGGTATTTTATTTCATCTGAACTGGTTTGTCTATCACTAGTTTGCACAAACATAGTGTGACACACTATACCTCGGGGGAGCGCCCCCATATTCATCATTTATATATAATTATGATATTTTATATAAAGCATGCCATGTGAGATATCAGAAGAAAGGTTATGATTTGCTGAGAGCTATTGTTCTATCTAAATATGTGTACTAGTGCATAGGAAGTTATGAGATTTTGTTGTATGGTTGTCACTAAAATATGCTGTGAGTTAGGGAACTGCCCAGATATTAGATCCCCAGAGACAAGGACAAGGGAGCTAACCAATGCCCAGGTAGGTGTCAAACAACCATCCACAGCCATTGTCCAGCAAGGGAGTTACAATTCAATGA